TAACTTCTCCATTGGTTATATTTCCCCCCGAAATATTAGGACGCAAGTATTAGAATTTTCCATTCCGTGGAAAGAGAATAGTTATTCCGAGTTTATCACTAAGGTGTATGATTGTTTTCTTTACTCCATTAATAACATTTAACGTATTATTTCAACGATGGAAACAAAATATAAACTAATAGGTGATCAAATTTTGAACTGGTAATCACCAACATGAAGAAATAGGTCAAGGCATTGCAGCACGTCATCATTTCACTCTCTTTTTATGTATGTTTTAATTACGATTAGACAGGATAAACTGCCTATTATCAGCAAGAAGAAATTAATTAGAAAGTATCGAGAATTTAAAAAACAGAAATATGTAATGTCATCCCTTATTGTGTATTTTGAATTTCTATGATAAAAGTATCTAATTACTGTAGTTTACAATCAATAATTAAAGCGGATGGTATTGATATATAAATAGTCAATACTAATAAATCAGAAAGGAATTTTGTCTTATCGTAATAATGGTCAGATGCATATACTTACTCTACCTTCTGAACTTATCGATTACAGATTCGTATTTATTCAATACAATAGCTGGTTCTTAAAATGGTAACTGCATGAAAATATCCTTTTTGCCACATCAAACATCAAATCTTTTTCTTTGATTTTACGTGTTTCCCCTCTTTTTAAAAATACGGTCAGTCGTAATAGTTGAAACATTGTTCGTCTTAACCTTTGTTAGACCTTTGGCTCCTGCGAAACTTCGTTAATTATATCTTTCGACAGGCTCTTTACCTTTTCAACTATTTAAATCACGTAATATCAGAATAAAATCAGAATCATATCGAGTCGTTTTCTAATCAACTGCGATCATCGAATGATATGTTCGTAAATAGTGTTTAAATACTTCCGTGAGTACATGCGATATACATGTATACATGTATACTCTCATCGTCAGCCGTAGCTGTAAATCTACACTGGGTGTCATTTAACCTATTAACGTTCAGCTAAATTTGAACTAGTTCTAGGAATGTAACGCCTCGTGCCGAATCGGGGAAAACTGGTGCGCTATCGTATCCATATTGTTTGCGATCAGCAGAAAAGTTAGGAGTATACACGCGCAAAGGCGTGTAACAGAGATGGCCCGAATCAGAGGTTCAGTGACCCTTGACACTGACTCGTGTACATGACACCGAGAGCACCGAGAGAAGCATAGAAACAGCGAGAGATGGAGAATGACAGAGAAAGGGAAGAGTGGTTTGCCTTAACCTTGACCCTGACAACCCCTTCGGTCCCGTCGCTCCTCGCCTCGTTCGCGGGAGATATACGCACACTCCGTCTCTTTCCTCACTTTGCTTCCTTTCCTCCAACATCTTTGCCACTTCTCTCTTTCTCTTTCATATTTTCATTGTTGGTTCTGCTCTCTTATTGGCGTGTACCAACTCGGCTCTCTCTCTCTCACACACACACATATACACATATATACACACTCTCTTTCTCTTCACATGTACATATGCATATACATATATTTTAGTGTCTTTCATACAGAAAAAGCCGACCATACGATCGATGCTCGACGAGGGGCCAGCTGCTCGAAATAGATGAGAAGGAGCCTCCTAAATATTAAAGGAGCCTTTACCCCGGTTTAACTTGCCCTCTGTGTTCGTCGAGGGGACGCAGGACTGTCCACGTTTCTGTCATTATCGATTTCTCCTCATCGCTCTCTTGCCTCTCTTCGTTTCGACACTCTTTTCGTCGCCCTCTTAATTTCACTGAGTAAAGTAAACACTCGGAATAATCGGGAGCAGCCCGTTCATTCAAGCTGCCTCTCCCCCTTTCTCTTATGCGTTTAGAGTTTTTAACGTTGCTTGCTTCTGGGTCTAGGCTATGGCCTTTCCCTTGGCATTTAAAGCACCTTGTACTATCCACTTGTCGTAATTATAAGTATCCCGTTGTATTGAAATTGCGAAACTCAGAGCGAGAAACTCAGAGCAACGTTCCTTTCTTCAAACGAATCTTGGTAAAAAATATTGTTCCCTAGTAACGAAGAACTATATTTGAGTATGAACGAGTATTTTATATTTTTGCTTTTTTGCATCTTCTCTAATATCTGCTGCGCACAACGTTAACGTTAACGTTAGATTTTTGACCAGCTTTGGAGCAGTTACGAAACGAACAATGTTTCTTGCAGTATTTTTGACTCTTAGAATCGTCGGTTATCAAACGATAAACGGCACCTCGTCGAATCATACGGTTTCTCAATCGCGGAGAGTACATTGAATGTAATTGCACGCTATCGTTTGAAGATTTCATCAGCTACTTTTTCGCATAATCGCGAAATGTTAACAATAAATAGCCAAGCAATATATAT